CGCTCCTTTGGAGGACATAAATTCATAAAATAAATATAGCATTGTTTTTAAAGGCTCAGGGTGCTTTCAGTCAAATGGCTCTAGAATTATATTTGTTAAAAACAAAATAGTTAATTTGAATGAACTTTCTACCATATTTTAAGGGTAAATATGGTAGAATATGGAAAAAGAAAATGTGGTACATACATACCATGGAATATTATGCACCCATAAAAAAGAATGAGATCATGTCCTTGGCAGGAACATGGATGGAGCTGGAGGCCATTATCTTTAGGAAACTAATGCGGAACATAAAACCAAATACCACATGTTCTCACTTACAAGAGGGAGCTAAATGATAAGAACATATGGACACACAGAGGGGACAACAGAAAGTGGGGCCTACCTGAGAGTAGAGGGTGCAAGGGAGGAGAGGATCAGGAAAAATAACAAATGGGTATTAGGCCTAACTCCTGGGTGACAAAATAATCTATACAACAAATCCCTGTGACACAAGTTTACCTCTATAACAAACCTATATATGTATCCCTACATTTAAAATTTTGAAAATATAAATAAAGACAAATGTTAGTCAAATATGGGCCAAAATAACAAAAAGTCACTCTTTTTCATCATTTCATAGAGACTACAAATTTCCTTCTTCCTCTCCCTGCTTTCAAAATAAGTGACATTAATCACATGTTGGCATTTAAGTTTTTCGCCAATTTATTGCTAAGAGGAAACATACAATAATATGCTATATGGTCATAAAACCCACTTTGCAGCCATAGAAGCAAGTTCTGCCTGTGCCTGTATATGTATATGTATGATAGTGGACATGTAAGTGTGAAACTTTAAACACTATTAGAGTAAGAAGTCTTTTGTTGAACTTTTGTTAGTTTGAGAGGCTGCAATAATTTTTCCCCTTTCAAAACACTGGAATAGAACTCATCATTTTGCTTTCCAAATTAGCAACAGGTAGCTGGTTTGGAAGGCTGGAGATTGATTTTTCTCCAGCTAGCAAGTCATGGGGACAGGTCACTGAAGCATGTGGGTGATATGCTGAACCACCAACTTGGCAAATATTGAACTATTTTAAGTGCATCTATTTTATGGTTCAGTAAATTTTTTGTTGTGTTAAATTCATTAAACTTGACACAGTCTAAATGCCACAGCACATACTGGAGAGCCCATAAAGTAACAGCACCAGCCATAAAAGATAGCAAAAGGTAAGGATCGATGTATTTTCTCTCTGTTTCTATTTAATTTTCATCTTTCATATTAAGACTGGGATTTGTTTTAAAGTTAAAAAGTACTGTGTGGCTGGGAAAATCAACTGGAATCTTATTATTTTCTGAAAATCTGAAGGAAGGTCTCTTTGTCAGTCAAGTTGCCTTCCACGCTAAGATGATGACATATATGACCTACAATTCAGGATCACTTAATAACTTGGGGGATAAATAAGAAATAAGAATTACACTCTGTTACTCACATTTTGGAAAAATCTTGTTTTGTATAATTTGCAAAAATATTGATTCAAGGACACATCTGAAGACTTAAGATGGGGCCTTGATAATGTGATTATTCTTTATTCAGAATTGAAATTTTCATAAGGATAATCAAGTTTTTGGCACATAAACTGTTATCGTGATTTAATGCAATTTTTTTGAGAGAGTCGTTTGTTATTTTTTAAGTACCACTTTTCCTCCAACAAGGAGTAGTCAAAGCAATTCAGAAAAGTAGGGAAGGTGCAAGGTGCGAAGAATTTCCATTCTAGCATGGGTTGTAACTATTAAAATTACAAAATTGATTTTATACTCCACATGAAAAATGACAATAAGTGAGGAACAATTTTCCAGTAATTTTTCTTAACAAAATAGGAAACAAAATAATCAATAACAGAAAATTGTGAAAATAAAAACCCAGTGTACATGTAGAGAATAAGGATATAAGCACTAAATGTAATTCTTTAGAGCTTCCAGAATACATAGGGCAGAAGTGATGCAGCCATCAAAGTTGGACTGAGTAAATCCATCCCCTCCACATGCAAGGAAAGGTTTGTGATGCAGAGTCATTTGGCCAGGACAGTTGGCAGCAGCATTTGTAACCTGAAAAAGTAAAAAGAAGACTGCAATTGACATTCTGCGCTCTATTGTGCTGTCATGGCAACACCCACCTGGAAAAGGCTAGTCTACCTGGAGAAATCAAGATTTCTCACAAGAAGCACCAGAAAAAACAAACAAACAAAAAATGCACACACAAGAAATAAAAAACAAACCAAGACTCACTAAACTCCCCCCAACCCCAGTTCAAGTGTTTATATTTATATTCATAAATGTTTAAATTTTCAGTTATTAGATAAGATAATCAGAAGTGGGTTGAACTTCAAAATTAGTAGGGCCTATGGTCTGAATGTTTATCCCCCTCAAATTCATATGTTGAAGTCCTAACCCGAGGTGATGGTATTAGAAGGTGGGGCATTTGGGGAGGTGATTAGGTCATGGGCAAAGTCCTCATGAATGGAATTAGTGCTCCTTATCAAACAGGCCCAAGGAAGCTTGTTGGTCCTTTCCACCATGTGAGGACACAGCCAGAGGTGCCATCTATGAGAAAGGGGGCTCTCACCAGACACTGGATCTGCCAGTGCCTTGATCTTGCACTTCCCAGACCTCAGAACTGTGAGAAAGACATTTCTGTTTATTAGCCACCCAGTCTATGGTATTTTGCTATAGTGGCCCAAATTGACCAAGACATCCTTCTTCAGTTTCTCTCCACCATTCCTCACCCCATGGTTCTTTCTTCCTCACATATTTCCTGAGCGCTGTTCTGGCCCAGGCCCCATGTTGAGCACTGGAAGCAGGAGAATTTTAAAATTTCACAACCTTGTCCCTAAGGAACTTTCAGTCCTGAGAGGAAGACTGACCCCAAAGCAGTCTTTTTTAACAGCTTTTTATTTTCATATCTGAACGTATGAAAAAAGGCACAGAGATTGTTTTCTGGAGAAAATATTCTCAAAATTTGGATGGATGATGGCTAATAAGCATTTGCAGTAAGGAGAATGAGTGGGAGGTGAATGCAGTTATGTTGGACACTGAGATGACTTGCCCACTGAAGCACCAAAAACCCTCTAAAAAACCAGAATATGAAAACTTGCTCTAATGGCCATCTGCTTGGGACTGCTTCACTGTACAACTTCAGGGGGCTCCATCCACATGGATGACAATATGACAGTTCTGGTCTCTCCTATACAATGTTTTCACGGATAGTAATAGAGTAAGGCCCATGAGGATTCACTTATCTGAAAATCAGGAAAAAAAATCAAGAAATGTAATAAATGCTATTTAAATTATGGTGCTGAGATCTTTGTTCTAGATAGGCTGAGTCAGTATATTCCCTTACAGTTTTTTTTTTTTTTTCTTCTAGAGATAGGGTCTTGCTCTGTTGTCTAGGCTGAAGTGCTGTGGCATGATCATAGCTCACTGTACTCTTGAACTCCTGGGCCAAGAGATTCTCCTGCCTTAGCTTCCTGGTAGCTAGGACTGTAAATGCACACCACCATGCCTGGCTAATTAAAAAAATTTTTTTAGAGATGGGGTCTCACTATGTTGTCCAGGCTGGTCTTCAACTCCTGGTCTCAAGCTATTCTCCTGTCTTGGCTTCCCAAAGTGTTGAGATTACAGGCATAAGCCACCATGCCTGGCTTACAGAGCCTACAGTTTTCTTAAAGCAGAAAAACTTTGCCATAGATATTTTTAATGTATATGTTATATTCACTTTTTAAATAGGGATGGTACTATTATTTCCCTGTTGAACCTCTAAAGACATGGGCCTCTGTAGACCTGTGTCACTCAGATATAAACATGAAATATTAAGAGCATCCTCTCACTTTTCTGGAGGTCTCTTACAGCAACATCATCTATCACAAACATAACTGATAATCTTGAAATCAGCAGACAAGATCTTTGAGTGGCTAAAATAGGCAGTACATAGTACAGTCACTTAAGCGCAGACTTGATTATTTAATTAGAGCTTCTAACCTGCTTTAGATAGAATTTTATCAAGTTGGATTATTTAATTTGTCAGTAAAACACTACAGGAGGAAGAAAATGGCTAGGATCCTAGATATTAGTGATTTCAGAATGTGATAACCAATAGTCTAATAGCAAGGGATATGTATTAGTTCATTCTCACACTGCTATTAAGAACTTCCCTGAGACTGGGTAATTTATAAAGAAAAGAGGTTTAATTGACTCACAGTTCCAAATGGCTGAGGAGGCCTTGAGAAACTTATAATCACAGCGGAAGGGGAAGCAGGCACATCTTACATGGTGGCAGGCAAGAGAGAGAGTGTGTGAAGGAGGAACTGTCAAACACTTATAAAACTGCCAGATCTCATGAAAACTCACTCACTATCATGAGAACAGAATGGGGGAAACTGCCGACATGATGCAATCACCTCCCACCAGGTCCCTCCCTTAACACATGGGGATTATGGGGATTACAGTTCAAGATGAGACTTGGATGGGGCCACAGAGTGAAACCATGTCGGGATGCTATATAAAAACTCAAAACCCAGAAAAGACTGGAAAGAATCCTGGCAGTCTGGGTCAATTTAATGGAGAGGCAAATAACTTTCTGGCTCTTAACAGGAGCTGAGGGCATCAGTTATTAGCTGTCTTACAATCATTAATGTTCACCATGATGGCCCCAGCTTTCAAGAAGCAATTCTAATATGCATAAAGTATTCATTGCTAGCATTTCTTGAATGCCCACTGCCTATCAAATGTTGTATATGCACACCTCATTTAATTCACATAGCAACCCTATGAGGTGGTTACTATTGTTCTTATTTTATACATAAGAAAGTTGAGGCTCAGAAAGATTACTACTTGCCCAAAGACGGAAAGTCAGTAGATAAAGAAACAGGGATTCGAACAGAGCAGGCTGACTCCAGAACTTACATTTCCAGCACTTTCAGAAATATTTCCATAAAGACTCGATTAAGTAAAACGAAACAAAAATTTTTGATTTTTGTTTTGACTTAGATTTAATTTTTGACTTAGCTTTAGGCATCTGGAAAATTCACATCAATAAATACTCATTCATACATATTCATATCTATACATATATGTGTGTGTCTATGTATAATTTGCACATACATAAATCTCCATTTGTGGTAAAATTTTGATACATTCCTGTTGACATCCCTGTATAGATAAACTGTGGCACTATTAAACATTGCACAAGTATTAACCAGGAAGGAGTTTAAGGAAAAGGGTTTTGCCCGGTCATGAGCCGGTAATTTATTGGTGCTGTGTAATTTAATTTGATGAGTGGTAAAACGCAGATGCCAGATCACATGGCTGGAAAACTGGGCCACTGATTAGCCAGTCGGCAGTTTGGATGAAATCAATCTCACTGTATTTAGGTGGAATCACCCATTTTGCAATTACCCAATAGGGAAAATATGAAAACATGGAGCGTGTATTGGCAAGCTCCTTCACCCATGTAAAGTAAGAGCCCTGCAGTGGAGGAGCACATAATTGTCAAAGCCACAATCTCACAATAATGCAGCCTTTGGCTATGCTTTCAGCCACAGTGAGGAACCACAGCTCAATGACTGTGTTTAAGAGAGATGTCAGGGCTGAAACAACCCCTTGCAAATCCAGGTTGCTTTGGCTCACATGTGTGCCAGGGATGGTCAGAAAGAACTCTTGCCTGCTATAGAGTAGCAAATGCAATGTTTCTACAAACTTAGGTGATAACTGGACTGGGTATACAAATAAAGCTGAAGAAGTGGTTTTATTTCTAAGCAATTTCAACCCATGTCAATGTCTTTTGTTATATAAAATGCAAACGCCTAAGCCCCACATGGAGAGCTCTTCATAACCAGGATCTTACTTTCATTCAAATCTCACCTCGTGCCACTTCTCTCACCTTTGTCACCCTTGTCCTTGTCCCTTCTCTTGCCTTTGTCCTATCTATATTCAAACTCAGGTTCTTCTTCTTGTACTTCTGTGGCTTGGAACAAACCATTTTGCTGGGTGGTGTTGCATCATCCTCCTCTTTGCTGACAAGTAAATTGCTCATCCTTCAAGACTCAGTATAAACATCACCTGCTCTGAGGCATTCTTGCTCAGCCAGGCAAGGTCAGTGCCTTTTCAGCATGTTATTTCTATCTATTATATTACTTGCTATTTTGCACTGTAATGATGTCCATGCCTGTCTCCTCCCCTCCTAGACTGCAAGCTTCTAAGAATAGGGGCTCTGACTCACTGATCTTTGTATCCAAGGCTGAGAACAGTGCCTGGATCATATTAAAGTGTGCAATAAATGTTTATTGAGTTAAAAGATATTGTACACAGTTGATCAAATGAAGGTCTTGACAGAAAACCTACACAAAAAGTGTTATTCAGAGGCTCCCCATATAGCTGAGGAGAAGCTCAAATGGAGGAACTATTGTATTTAGAAGATTCTTAATAATGATGAATGAAGGGATGTCCTCTGGCCTCAGACCGTGCACTGCTTTAATGACTGTCTCCTGTCATGTATTAAGTTGAACCACACAAACCTGCTGATTCTGTAGGTCAAAAATGGTAAAATATTGTCAATTTGTATATGGTTCAGCCTAATAGTTTCTTTGTACCATGATTACTAATTGTAAAAGTTCACACAAAAAAGTGCTTTTGGTGTGAAAATGAAATTAAAGATGAAAAGAAAGAGGTAGGCAGACAAGGAGGCTAAGTATTTCTTATCAAAATGACAGTTGATTATTAGCAAAATAATTCAAATAATGTCCATTCTTCCTTTTATATCTATGCTAAAGCTACAGTGCGTCCTTGGACTAGGAAACATTTACCCATAGAGAACAGTCATTTGTTTGGCCTATAGAGTGGCTTTATTTTAGGCTGACCTATTCAGCCATCCAGCCCATAATTTGGTTACTTAAAGAAACCTTTCTGAAATATGGCAACAGGTGACACTCAAGAGGGTAGGCAAGAATTAAGGTTTTATAAATTCTAATTCTAGATGTGCAACTAATGCGATCAGGGAGCTTGGACAATGAATAATGAAATTTTTGCTGCTACGTTTCCTAACTTATACCATGAATGCAAATTATACCACATTTCATTGAATTTAAGGCACCATAAAACACAACAATATTTTATGTACCAATGAGAAAGAAATTTATACTTAATAGAAAAGTTCTTTCGGATTTGTCTATGTGTATCTTTTGCAAACATAAAAAGGAAATAAAAGAGAAATACATTGGTTAAGCCCTTCTAAAGACTCACATTTAGAGATGGACTTCTCTGAACCACTCTTTAACTCAGACATGCTGATGTCTGATATCCATGCACTTCCCTATTCAGTCTGTCCTCTGTGCTGTCTAAAACACTGGCGATGTGGCATTTCTTACAAGGATATTCCACTGAATTATTTTTTTCTAGGGTTTTCTTCTGAGCTGCTGACACTGTTCTGCAAGTATGGATTATGCTTTTTTCTCTTCATTGGGAAAGAAAGGTTTTCAGACAGTAACGAGACTCATATTCTTTCCTCAAATTGTTCTTAAATAATTTGTTAGTTTAAATATCAAGAAGTTACAGCTGCCCACTCCAAGAGCACCAGAAATAACCAAGTTCACACATGTGAAAACTACATCTTGACTGTCTCCTGGTGTACACTGATGGGGTGGCATCTTATAGTTGAAGAAATACGGCAAGTATTAAGTAGGGTGATGGGAGAGGGATGGTAAATACTCCACAGTTTCTCAATGCACAACAAGTCAAAATATAATGAATGGTAGGATCCTTTAAGCAGTGCTTTTTCAGTTAAGTAGCATTGTTGGTGTTAGGACTTCTAATGTCTTTAGCATTGCTGGTTTAAACACTCCATTTTCTCAGCTCACCCAAATGAGCAGCCTCAGGTGAAACTGACAGAGATATACTGGTTATCTAAGAATCCATTTGTTCATTTTCAAAGGTAAATGTACCAATTCCAGAACCAAGTCTGGTTGTCTTCCCAGATCATTCATCTTGCTGGGCAAATTTCCCCAACTGTATCATAGATTATGGGGGTGACACAGGTGCAGCAACTCCTGACAGATATCACTAATCAGTCGTGGCAGTCTTTCCAGGAAGCCCAGCAGGGCCTCAGCATCCTTCTCCCTTCGGTGCCTCAGGCAGCCACCACCAGTCAATTGGAGTTGGCACTTGAGAGGAATTCTATATACCAACCCTGGATTAGAAGATTACAGAAGAAACACATAATTAGAAATAAGGGAACTAAATATTCTTTACTGTTTCTTTCTCTCCTTTCCCATTAAGTTACAATAGCTTGATGCATTGCCTTTCTCCAAACCAGAGACACTTCAATGCCAAGAAACAGATCACATCAGGAGCCATTTCCTCTAGATGCTGCTGCAAACCCAATTACAATTCCTTCTAATAACCTTCTAAGACCCCTGTCCAGGACACTGCCCTTCTCTGGGTCACACAGGTGCTTTGGCTGCTGCGTGAAAATAAACTACAGGCGTTTTAGCTACAACCATAGTTCTACAAAATTGTATGCTAAAAATATCAGGGCTTGTGGAAAAAACAGAGTTGGGGGCAGATGACTCAAAGCCTATGGAACTTTGAGCCAAGCACTAACAAAACCAATAAACATTATAGTAAAGTGGCTAGTACAGTTAACATTCTCCCAGCCTCTGCATCTAGCTAAAGTGATACACTCTTTGCAGCCTAGATCCTGGGGCTTGTGTTTCTCCTTTGAGATATGGGTCTTGGCGACAGTTGCTTCTAAAGTAGACCTTTTTGAGCTAAATTGAAAGTATGATCTAGGATCATATTTCATCTGCCTTTTTCATCAGTCTGTCACGTTAATATAGGGGAAATATCTTTGTGGTTTCACCATCTGGACTTCCACTTTTGCTGAAGAGCTTAACGTGGTAGAAAACCAGCAGTTCTTTGAGCCATTGGAACAGCCACTATTTGCACTAAAGGAAAGCACGTTTGTAGATTTTAAGTTTTTATTCCTGAGACCTTCATATTTAGAAAGGCTTTATGCTTGCCCGTAAGAAAAGTTACTCCAATTACTTCAAAATATAAATGAGTTTGAAACCAATATGAGTCTCCTGATATTGATCTCTTATTTCTCAACCACATACAAGGTAATTCACATTAAAACATACACACACACACACACACACAAACCCTAGTTGCAAAGACTGTAGATAATTTTACCACTTTCTTATGTTACATTACCTTCCTGCAGGTCACTTTAATAAGCTTTGGGTATGCATAAGCCTTGACAGCAGATGGAGATACCTAAGCCATCACTTGTATTTTGATACTCACACTGCATCTTTTAATAACAATTTTCGGCCGAGCGCAGTGGCTCAGACCTGTAATCCCAGCACTTTGGGAGGCTGAGACAGGTGGATCATGAGGTCAGGAGATTGAGACCATTCTGGCCAACATGGTGAAACCCCGTCTCTACTAAAAAAAAGAAAAAGAAAAAAAAAAAGAAAAAAATACAAAAATTAGCAGGGCATGGTGGCACGTGCCTGTAATCCCAGCTACTTGGGAGGTTGAGGCAGGAGAATGGCTTGAATGAGTCGGAGGTTGCAGTGAGCTGAGATCGTGCCATTGCACCCAGCCTGGCAACAGAGTGAGACTCCGTCTCAAAACAAAAAACAAAAAACAAAAAAAAATTTTTTTCATCCACTCCAATGTCTGACAGTGACTTTTTACTTAAATTGTTCCCGAATTCAGAGAAATTTTATTGTTTACTGGTTGCACACTAACTTGACTGGGGAAAACTTTGAGTAATAATCTTCTTGCCTTGGCATTTCCCCTGCTCATTGCGTGTGTGAGGTATTGACCACACTGGCAATAATATGAAGGCTAAGATGGTATGGAGCTGATTCATACATTTTCTCACTTCCTTGCATTTCTCTACTCTGCTGCCAGTGTAAACCTAAGCCCATGCCATGGTACATAAACAGCAGAAATTGAATATTTGGTTAACTTGTTCCTTTATAGCCCCTATCTATGCAAAGCACAAAGGTAGTTTTTCCCAAAAGGCAGTCTGTGGCAAGATGGAAAAAAAGTAAGAATTCTGAGCGTTTTCATGGAGCTAAGTGCATTATATATATATACATATATAATATTTATAAATCTGTTATGAGGCTGTAACTTTATTTTTTGGGTTATTCTTTTGTTTGAATTCTTGTAGCTGTGTTTTCGCCTTTTAAATTTTTAGTTGAAGAATTAAAAGATAACAATATTATCTTAGCTCCCAAAACATTTAGAGGGGTTTTACTGGTCCATAAAAATAAAGAAAAAAATGCTTGGAACCACTGCTCTGGGGTAAGGCTTGAAACGGCTTAAAGCAGAGTCTCCGTCAGTCTGAAGAACGTTTTCCATGAAAGGGAGGGATGGTGGCTAGGGAGGAGCTAACGTGAGCTTTGAAAAACCATCAGTAATTTCTATTATCACTGGATAACCTGAGTTTGGGTTTGGTAAGTTGATGAGTAATTTTTAAAAATGGAATGAAATCTTGTATAAAATGTATTTCCCAGAAATCTGCATAATCTCTTTTTTATACAAATACTACTCTAGATAGAACTAGAATCTACAGGAACACATGGTTCGTTTGTTCGCCCATGGTTAAATATTTAAGTAGTAACCATCTAAGGGTTAGAGGAAAATAGGGATTGGGGGAAAATGACTTAATCAAATGTGGAATAAATTCAAATTACATGTGGCCTAGAGAGTGAATGTGGTTCATATTGATTCTCTGTATATATCTCCCTAATCTTACCATATTCCCAAGGCATTGATTGTAGCATTGATCACATGCCTGTTTACACACATAGGGAGAAGTGTCAATAAATGAAGGAGAGACCAGAACTTATTCTGATGTCAATGGAAATGGCTGTTTACTTATTTGCATATAGGAAACTAGTCCAGGCACTCTGAAAAAGATATAACTTCAGTGTTGTGGCTACAGTGGAACAATACTATTAACCACTGAGTAAAGTTCCATAATATAAGAAAGGAAGGGCTGGGACATGAAAGTTGAAAACAGGTTTTTTTTTTTTTTTTTAATTTATATACAAAATATTTTCTATTGGCCAAATTTAAAATGTAATGTTCCCACTTCTACTAGGGGTGTATTTATCCTTAATGTTCTCCTATTTTTAAAAAATTCTTTTGGGGTTTGATGAAAATCCAACAAAATGTTGTTAATTCCTCTACACACAACTAACCAAAATGCAATTTGGTAAGAGATATTTGATGTTTAAAAGCCTTTTGACTCCTAAAAATAGCAAGCTACGGGGGCTGTGTCTTACTCATCTTTGTATTTCTGGTATCTATTACTCCACTGTATATGACTGGCATCGAATAAATATTTGCTGAAAGAATAAATCAACACAGGCCAACAAAAAAGCTAATTCAAAGTTTCGAAATTTTTATATTCTCAGTGTTCAAATGGTCTCTAAAGGTGGTGGAATTTTTTTTCTCTATGAAAATAATTTTCTTTAGTTTCTGAGTCTCTAAATTTTGCTTTCCCACCCCCGCCCTCCAAATAACTATGCTATTAACCACCTTCTATTTTGTCACACTTAACCCCTCACCACTCTATCCCAGTTCCTGAGCAACTGAATTGCCCAGCACAACACCTATTCTGATTTAATTTTAAAAATTCTTTCTTAAAACAGTTGATTCTCTATGCTCAGATTTTTGTAGCAAAGTAGAAATCATACACATATGAAATATATGTGTTATATTATTAAGAAAAGTGACGATAAAGATGATTTCTTAACCATATACTGCATCTTACTAAAGATAAGTGATACTCCAAACTGGGATAATAATGATAAATTGGGGAGCTGATTATACTATTTAATCTATTTTTAGGTATCTTTCTTTGATAATTGAACCTCTTTCGGCCACAGATTTTTGAGGCTCTCAGTTCTAATCATCTTATGCTACGGTACTTAATATTCATAAAGAGCTTTATAAACACATGGTTGCTTTCCTGCAGAGATGGTACATTTTTAATTGGTTCTTATGTGTTGTGTTCATCATTTCATCTTTCCTCTGTTCTACTCATCTCTCCAGTGTTCTATTATATTTAATGGTGATTTCATAAACTCATTTCTTTGTTGTGCTTTAGAGAAAGGCTTACTTGTATTGTGGACTCCTGATTACTGAGCTCTGTATCTGGTACTACAGAGAGCTGCTGTAAAATTACTATTGGTTGGAACACCCTAGGTGTGAAGAAAGCAATGTGGTTTGCTCAATTCTCAGTGGAGCTTTTCATTTTATTGGCATTTGCCTATTCTATTTTAATAAACCATTGGGTAGATGCAGGCAGAATGTGCCACAAATCAATTATATGATCCATGTAGTAGCTTTAGTGGGTTCAAACTGCAAAGGACATACTTTGCTGAAATTGTATATTCAATTGTTGAGGTCTACATTGACTCTGTTTAGATCTATTCTATCTTTTAAAACCCTGAAAATACTGGAGCAAACTCTTTTGACGAGGACTTGTTCAGAACAAGCACACAATAAAGAATGAAATACGGTTTTCTCTAGTACTATTGAAGTAATAATGGACAGAACAATAGTCATATTACATTTGCCTTTAGAGTTTTTAATTTAATAGAAAATTGTTCTGCCCTTCAGCAAGTTTTAGTGTATTCATTCATTAATTCTTCAAATATTTGTTTTGTTCCCAGTAGTTGCTGAGCACTATGAAAAGTGTGAGGGTACAAAAACCAGCTCCTTTCTGTAAATTGATTTAACAGATTTGGAATTCTTTTGTTTTCATCTAAATATAAATGCTCTGTCACACTTTCTCAAAGGATCCAATTGCTTGGGATTCTAGGATGCAAAGGACTGAAAATGCTTTCCATGGTGAGTCCAGAGATAAACTGAAAATCACTTTTTCTCCTGAACTGGGCCTCACTACTACCTCTTCCCCCTCTGTAGGTTGACAGCTGGTTGATTTCCCGCAGACTCAACTTTTCTGCATTTCTTCTCCCATTCCCTATTTATTCTTCTTGATGACCCAGAAGCATGACACTGACATTTCTTTCTGGTTCTCATTCATGTTGAATGGACCCAATGACTTTATATCTGGGCCATAGGATTATGGCAAGAAAGAATGCAGCATTTTGATCTTCAGGTCTAGAAATGAACTTCCTTCTACTTTTAATACTGTGA